GGGCGGTGTCCGGCCTGGGCGGGTGAGGCTGGGCTAGGTCCGCTGTGGCATGCCGCTGCGCCGGCAGGCTGGCCATGGTGAACGGGGTGCTGTGGCCTAGGCCGGGGACAGTCCGGGTGTCACTGCCACCATACCCGTGGTTGAGCACCAGGACAGTCGCAGGCCAGGGGGGGCCAGACTCGGGAGGGACAGACGGGCATGCCCTGGGTGGGAGGGAGGGGGGGCTGCCAGGGTTCCCCGCAAGGCCCAGCCGGACGCAGGGGAGGGAACAAGCTCCGGCCATGTCTGTCAACGGTTACACGTGGCCTGGGGGTGGGGTGGGGCCCAGCCTGGAAAACAGAGGCTGGGGACCGGCATGGGTGCATGTGTGGCACCTGCGCGAGTTCGGAGGAGCACTGGGACGTGCAGGAGCCACCGTGGTCCCTGGCCGTTAGGGCCCCCTGGCCGGGGCTGTGATCCTTCCCTGTGTTCTGGGGAAAGAACGTGCCCCCTGGCGCTGTCATTGAGGATGATGACGCATCCTGACGCCGCAGGGCACTTGCGATGTGGGCGCCAGTACTTTCTAGATGCCTTTGCCGGACAACCTTGATGTGGAATTGGTCTCATAACCATGCTTTATAGATGAGAACTGGGATGGCACAGAGCAGGTTAAGTAACTTGCCAAAGGTCCACAGGCTATAGTGGGATGTGAACACAGGCCATAGCATTTGCACAGGCGCCCCCAAATAAAACAGTATAGGCATTGTTTTTTTATTATTATTTTTTTGAGGAAGGATCTTCACTTGTAGGCCGGCTATGAGTGCCGTGGGCATGCCTAGCTCACAGCAACCTCAAACTCCTGGGCTCATTGATCTCCTGCTGCAGCCTCAAAGTAGGCGTGGGGACTACAGGAATGTGCCGCCAGTGGCCTCTGTCTAATTTTTTCTAGTATGCATATTAGTTGGCCAGGTGGGGAAATTTCTTCTTATTATAGCTTAGAGGGACGGCTTGTCGGGGTCTTGGCTCTTGCTCAGGCTGGTTTCGAACTCCTGACCTCGAGTAATCCGCCCGCCTCAGCCTCCCAGAGTGCTAGGATTACAGGCGTGAGCCACTGTGAGCGGCTGCATGTCTTAATAGATCGCATTGAGGAGGTGCTTCTTGAAGTGGCCTTAAGGGAAGCAGATGGGGACAGTCCGACTTGGGCTGCCCCCCACGCTGCCATCCCCCAACCTTTTAGGTTCCACAAGCTGGTGATCGATGACGTCCGGCCCGAGGACGAGGGCGACTACACGTTCGTGCCTGATGGCTACGCCCTGTCACTCTCCGCCAAGCTCAACTTCCTGGGTGAAGCGCCCCCTCCTCCCCCACCCGGAGGGCATGACGTGTCGCTGGGGCCGAGCCTTCCCTGCCCCCAGCCCCTGGGGACATGCCAGGGCCTGGCCCTGCCTCGGGCTTGTGTCTTCCGCTGGGTGTGGACCTAACTGCCCCGTGTTGGTGTGCTCTCCTGAATCAAAGTGTGAGGTACGGTGCCCATGCATGTGGGCTGTGTTTCCTGTGTGCGCTGGTCCCCCCCGTCCTTTTTGTTGGTGATGTGTGTGTGTCTCCGATGTGTGTTCTGTGTTTGTGTGTGTGTGTCTCTAGTGGGGTGGTGGGTTAAGTGGTTCTTGCTCTCGCCTTTGTCTCTCGTGTGTTTGTCTGTGTTCACAGTAGTGTGTGTGTGATATTGTGTGTTTTATGTCGCGGGTAGTGTTGTGTAGAATTCTGTTTGTGGGTCTTTGTGTGTGTGAACAAGCTGTGTGTTGTGTGTTGGCATCACGGAGGATGCCCTTTCGTCGTTATACTTCTGGCTTTGAAGGGAGTGTGTGTGCTGTGTGTGGGCCTTGTCCGGCCATGGTCTGTGTCGCCTCGCTTTGTGCTGAAGACTTTGTATTCTGTTATCTGGTGTTGCCCGTCCCACACCCCAGCACATCGGCCCCAGCCCCACCCGTTGTCTGGTCTCCTGACCCCATAAATCCACCAGCGACCTCTGGCCCGCCAGGCTAACCCTACCCCGACGGGGCCTCACTGTCCTCCGCTGCTGTTGCTCTAATGACCCTTGGTGACACTTCCTGGCGCGTCCGCCTTGGCCCACCTTGCTGACCCCTTTCCTGACCAGTGACTCCACCTCTGACCCTGGCTCCTCCTGCCCCTCCAACTCCCCCCCCCCCCCCGTGTCCCCCCACCTGGCCCCCGCAGCACCCACGAGCGAGCCGCTGCACCTGGTGGTGGACGACGTGACGGACACCACCACCACCCTCAAGTGGAGGCCGCCCAACAGGATCGGCGCCGGCGGCATCGACGGGTACCTGGTGGAGTACTGCCTGGAAGGCTGTGAGTGACCCTGGTGGCCGGGCGGGCGGCCAGCTCCGAGCCCACTGGGTGTCCTGTCCGGGGAACCAAACACGGGTGGCGCGGGGAGAGGTCTGGTGCGGCGGGCTGCCTGCGTGTCGCGTCTGTGCTGGCACGAATCCTGGGATGGGTTGGGTCCAGCCAGACCCCCAGTGACCAGCTTGTCCTCTCTCCCTCCCTCCTTCCCTGCATCCATGCTCCCTACAGCTATGACTTTTCATCCATCCATCCATCCCTCCATCCTTCCTTCCAGCCGCCATGTATCTGCTGCCTGTGTGCCTTCCTCCTGCCTCCTGTTCCTTTACCCATCCAACATCTCTCACCCTTCCCTCTTAACATCCACCCATCATCCATCCATCCATCCATCCACCTGTCCTTCCATCCGCCATTTATCTGCTACCTGTGTGCCTTCCTCCTGCCTCCTGTTCCTTTACTCATCCTACATCTCTCACCCTTCCCTCTTAACATCCACCCATCATCCATCCATCCACCTGTCCTTCCATCCGCCATTTATCTGCTGCCTGTGTGCCTTCCTCCTGCCTTTTGTTCCTTTACCCATCCAACATCTCTCACCCTTCCCTCTTAACATCCACCCATCATCCATCCATCCATCCATCCATCCATCCATCCATCCATCCATCCTTCCATCTGTCCTTCCATCCGCCATTTATCTGCTGCCTGTGTGCCTTCCTCCTGCCTCCTGTTCCTTTACCCATCCAACATCTCTCACCCTTCCCTCTTAACATCCATCCATCCATCCATCCATCCATCCATCCATCTGTCCTTCCATCCGCCATTTATCTGCTACCTGTGTGCCTTCCTCCTGCCTTTTGTTCCTTTACCCATCCAATATCTCTCATCCTTCCCTCTTAACATCCATCCATCCATCCATCCATCCATCCATCCATCCATCCATCCATCCATATGTTCTTCCTTCCTTTTCCCTGTATTTCTCCCTCCACTACCTGCCATCCACTTGCTTACCCACCATCCCATCATCCCTCCGTCTGTCCATCTGGGAGTCTATTGGATCCTGCAGCTACCCATCCATCCGTAGTACTATTGTCATCCAGTCTGTGTCTTTACCACCATCTTTGCATCCTTCCTTCCTCCACCCACCTGTATGACCACTCAGCTACCTGTCCATCTAACTCACAGATGTCTCCCCACCTGTCCCTCCGTCACCCCCTTTTCCATGCACCCAGCCCTCTACCCTCCAGCGCAACACACATTCACTGGGCGCTGTGTCCCCAGCCCGGCACCATGGCCATGGAGGTGTCTCCGGCGCAGTCATCTCCCTGGGAGGACAGACAGGACCACCTGGACATGGCACCCCAGGTCCCGCCCTACACTTGCTAACGGCGTGGCCTTGGGCGAGTGTCAGAGTCTCCATACCTTCCTGTAAAGATGGCGGAGACGGTTCCCATCTTGGCAGGGTGCAGAGACGCTGCGTGTGACGGTGCCTGGAGTCGATGGGTGGCCGAGCCCTGGTCGGCTCCTCCCTCTGCCCCGTCCCAGTGCTCTCCCCACCGCCCCTCCCTGGCCCACCCTCCCCACGCCCCATGGAGCCTCATGCTCCAGGACCGAGGGTTCGAGTCCGCTCTGCAATTGCCGTGCTCACCCACATCGGTTCGCCAGCCCATGGCCATAAACCCAGACAGGAAGGCGCGTGGCAAAGGGCAGGCAAGCCCCTGACCTCTGACTGCCACCCTTGACTCGCCCTCCCGGATGGATGTGCCTGGGCGCTTGCATCCCGCTGTGCCCGAGGACAGAGCCCCCATCCCTGTCCCTCTGTGCCAACCTTGGCAGAGCTTAAGAGTCTTCTGGAGTCAGACAGGCCTGGGTTGAACTTCCTAGTCCAGCACATCTGAGCTGTGTGACGTTGGCAAGTTCCTTAACCTCTCTGGGCCTCAATTTCCTCATCTTTAAAATGAGGATAACAGAAGGTCGAAGCAAGACTTGACGAGCTAACACATGTGCCGCCATGACAGCCCGGCCGGCACAAATGCTTAGCAAATGCGAGCTGCTCTGCTACAGCTGCTGAGGATTTGCTGTGTGCATAGCACTGGGGCCCACGCCACCGGGGACAGTGAGCTGAGGGGCGCAGGGGCCGGGAGGAAGGCCGGGGGACCCACCAGCTCTTCTCTGCAGCCGAGGAATGGGTCCCGGCTAACACCGAGCCTGTGGAGCGCTGTGGCTTCACCGTCAAGGATCTCCCCACGGGAGCAAGAATCCTCTTCCGGGTCGTTGGGGTCAACATCGCGGGTCGTAGTGAGCCGGCCACCCTGGCCCAGCCGGTCACCATCCGGGAGATTGCAGGTGGGTGACTCCTGGCCCCTGGCCCTGCTCTCCCATCCGACCTGCCCTTTCCCTGTCCTCAGTAGGCCCCAGAAAACCTCATCGCCACTGGTCTGCCGTCCCTCCAACGCCCCAGTGCTGAGCCCCTCCCTTTGTGCCCTCAGAGCCACCCAAGATCCGCCTCCCCCGCCACCTCCGCCAGACGTACATCCGGAAAGTGGGAGAAGCTCTCAACCTTGTCATCCCCTTCCAGGTACGGGGGTCAGGGGTCAGGGGGTCAGGGGCAGCGACTGCGGCAAGACCCATGACAGCAAGAGTCCCCTGCCTCACCGGCCTCACCCCTGCTCTCCTCCCCCAGGGAAAGCCGCGGCCCCAGGTGGTGTGGACGAAGGGCGGGGCCCCCCTGGACACGTCCCGCGTGAACGTGCGGACCAGCGACTTCGACACCGTGTTCTTCGTGCGCCAGGCGGCCCGCTCGGACTCGGGGGAGTACGAGCTGAAGGTGCAGATCGAGAACATGCAGGACTCGGCCACCATCCGCATCCGCGTCGTGGGTGCGCAGCGGCCACAGGAGGGGAGATGCGTGGGGGTGCGGGGGGAAGTGGCATGGGGGAGCCCCCAGGGAGAGAGATTGGGGTGGGGGCAGGAAGTGGGGCCACCTCGGGCTGGCCTGCAACTCCGCCCCTCCAGAAAAGGCAGGGCCGCCGGTGAACGTGATGGTGAAGGAGGTGTGGGGCACCAACGCGCTGGTGGAGTGGCAGCCCCCCAAGGACGACGGGAACAGCGAGGTCACGGGGTACTTGGTCCAGAAGGCCGACAAGAAGACGATGGTGAGTGAGGGAAGCGGGACTGGCGGTGGGACGACGGGGGACGGACGGCCAGGGCGGCAGCGCGGCTACAGATGTTCCCGTCCCACAGCTGGGGAGACTGAGGCCCAGAGGGCGGGCTGGGGCCTTTTAGTTGAGATTTGTGCACGATGGGTTTTCTTTTCTTTTCTTTTTTCTTTTTTTTGAGACAGAGTCTCACTTTGTTGCCCAGGCTAGAGTGAGTGCCGTGGCGTCAGCCTAGCTCACAGCAACCTCAAACTCCTGAGCTCAAGAGATCCTCCTGCCTCAGCCTCCCGAGTGGCTGGGACTACAGGCATGCGCCACCATGCCCGGCTCATTTTTTCTCTATATATTAGTTGGCCAATTAATTTCTTTCTACTTATAGTAGAGACGGGGTCTCGCTCTTGCTCAGGCTGGTTTCGAACTCCTGACCTCGAGCAATCCTCCCGCCTCGGCCTCCCAGAGTGCTGGGATTACAGGCATGAGCCACCACGCCCAGCCTTTTTTTTTTTTTTTTTTTAAATTGAGGTGAACTTCACACAACAACACGAACCATTAGCCATTTTAAAGCGAAAAGTTCCGCAGCATTTAGCGCATTCGCAGTGTTGTGCGGCAGCCACCTCTGTCAACTTCCAAAACGTTTTCATCACCCCAAAAGGAAACCCCACGCACGTTAGCAGCCCCCTCCCGTCCTCCCGACCCAGCCCCTGGCCACCAGCAGTCGGCTTCCCGGCTCAGCCGACTCCGGGCGTTTCACACGGAGAGGCCTCCACCGCGTACCTGGCCTCTTTCGCTAGCATGATGTCTCCAAGGGTCATCCGTGCTGTCGCGTGAGCCAGAGCCTCGCTCCTTTTCATGGCCGAGTAATGTTCCATTGTCTGGATGGACCACATTTTACCCACCCATCCGCCGCACACTTGAGTCGTTCCACCTGTCGGCGATCTCGAATAGTGCCGCTAGGAGCGACAGTTTCTCCCAACACTTGGATGCGCTTCTCTGACCCCTGGCCCTTCTTGTGTGTGTTCCCCTTGTGTCCCTGACTCGCCCGGTCCCTCCCTGTCCTCACACCAGGAGTGGTTCAACGTCTATGAACGCAACCGCCACACTTCCTGCACTGTGTCCGAACTCATCATAGGCAACGAGTACTATTTCCGTGTTTTCACCGAGAACATCTGCGGGCTCAGTGACTCCCCAGGTGTCTCCAAGAACACGGCCCGCATCCTCAAGACAGGTGCTGACCCCCACCCCGCAGGGCCCCATCCCACCCCCACTCTTGGCTGGGGTCCCACCTGGACTCCGCTGGCCCGACCCCCTGGCCATGGGGGAGAGGTGGTCGGGGTTCAATCCCAGATTGGGGCTGGGGGACAGTCCAGATGAGTCACCTTACAGATGTATCTCGCCTCTCCAGGAATCACCTTAAAACCATTCGAGTACCAGGAGCATGACTTCCGGATGCCTCCCAAGTTCCTGACGCCGCTCATAGACCGGGTGGTGGTGGCTGGGTACGCCGCGGCTCTCAACTGCGCCGTCAGAGGCTATCCAAAGGTGCCTGGGGCGGGGCCCAGTTCCGCGCGTGTGTCGCATGTGGGACCCTGATGGGAATCTCCCACACGGCGAAGTCCCCACTCCCCTGCACACCGGCTCTTCTTCCTTGAGTTGTCCTCTGTTTCATGGCATTTGCTCACTTTTGACCCACTTCCTGTTTCTCTCCTCCTCTGGCCAGAGCCCAAGCCTCAGACAATCGGCCCCTGTCCCTGTCTTCCTGTCTTTTCCTTTGCCTAATGACCGCCAGGTGACAGCTCATCCCGGCAGCCCGAGGAGAGGGCCATTCAGTCTCTCTTGCCCTAAGGACAAATGCCAGTCCCTCTGGGGGCAGGGGCAGTCTAAACCTCCACAGCTTCCAGGGTCTTCCTGGTCCATTCTGGTTTCCAGACTGCTGTTTGGGAGTATGGACGCTTGCAACCTTGAGCTCGAGTGGCTCATCTAGAAAAGGGGTTGGCCACAGGCCAAATCCACCTACCACCTGTTTCTCTCAATAAAGTTTTATTGGAACATGGGCCACACACATTTGTTTACATTTTGGAGGCAGAGTTGAATAGTTGCAACAGAGACTGTAGGGCCTGCAAAGCCTGAAACATTTACTAAGTGGCCCTTTATGGGGACAGTTTGCCGACTGCTGGTCTAGACTCTAGGCTTTTAGCTTTAGCACCTTTAGGCACACTGTAAATTCGCCTCTGTCTACTCTATTCACTAACTCCACTAACTGCACTCCTTCATTGTGTTCATTTACTCACCTACCCATCCACTCGTTCACTCAGTTCATTCATTCAGTCCATTTGCTTATTTACATCATTCTTTCATTCACTCATTCATTTGTTCACTTCATTTATTCTTTCACCAAACATTTTCAGAGGCTTTCTATGCACTAGGTGAATCGAACGAGAAGTTTCCTGTATGTTGGGGGAGACCCACATTAACCTAAAGTCACACAAATAAAATAAAACTAAAAAGGGAGCGACGAGTGCTAGAGAAACGCAGGCAGTTATGAGTGTAACATAGGAGTTCTTGTCCTAGTCTAGGGGCCAGCAAGGGACATGTAAGCCAGGACCTGAAGGGGAGGCAGGCGCTAGTCAAGTGAAAAAGAGAGGGACGAGCAGCACCGGAAGAGGGAACAGCCAGCGCCAGGGTCCTGGGGTGGAAGCCGTCTGGTCTGTTTTGAGGAACAGCGAGGCAGCCAGTGTGGCCGGGCGGTGGCGGGGAAGCGAGTGCAGAGGAGTGATGGGGCCAAATCGTGTAGGGCCGGTGGGCTGCTATGAGGGGCGAGCTCTCGATTGGGAGAGCGATGGGAAGCCCTCGCCAGGACGCCGTGAGGTAGGGATCATCAACCTGCTTCCACAGAAGAGGAGACTGAGGGTCAGAGAGTAGACATGACTAGTCCAAGGATATCCAGCAAGGAGGCGGCACAGCCTAGAACCCAAATCTTCCTCCTGAGCCCCATCTCGCCGTTGCCCAGGGACCCTCTCTCAGTCGCCTTCCTCTCCCGCTCCCCTCAACAGCCAAAGGTTTCCTGGATGAAGAACAAGATGGAAATCCGAGAAGACCCCAAGTTCCTGATGACCAACCACCAGGGCGTCCTGACGCTGAACATCCGCCGCCCCTCGCCCTTCGACGCCGGGACTTACACCTGCCGGGCCGTCAACGAGCTGGGCGAGGCGCTGGCCGAGTGCAAGCTGGACGTCCGAGGTGAGGTCTAGAAAGGAGTGGACCCGGCCTGCTAGCAAGACTGGGAAGCCAGGTCGGGACCCAAACAAGACAGAGGCAGTGACCGGTGCTGAAGGGAAGGCAGCACAGGGCGCGGGAGGAATGCGGCTGGGGGAGCCCCTGACCCAGCCCGCGCAGGAGGAGACCCAGAGGGTTTTTGCAAAGGAGCTGAAGGGCAAAGAAGAGGGAGGTGAGTGGGGAGAAGACCTCAGCAGGTGTCCCCAAGGCCTCTGGTGCGCCTGGGCCCACGTGGGTAGAGGAGGTGACTCAGATGAAGCAGACGGGGATAACGGCAGAGGACCGGGGCTGTGGGAGCCCCAAACAGGCCCCCTCCCCAGCGTGTCCCCAAGCTCCTTCCTGCTCCTGCCTCGCCCCCTCCTCTCTGCCCCACGGCTCTGGCCCCAGCTCAAGCTTCATCCTTTGCCTCCTGGATCCCCTTCCCAGACCCCTCCCCAGTCCACCGCCTCCTGTCTGTCCCCACGTGGAGCTAGAGGGGTCTCTGTGTCCAGAGCCCACCTGCCCTTCCCCTGCTCCCAGCCCTCTCCCTCGCCCCTTTTGTCTCGGGCTCAGACATCGGCCACTCAGTGCTCAGTGAGGCGGCCACAAACTGAGTCCCCTAGAGCAGGCTGACACCAATACGGACCTCCGGAGTCCCCCACCCCGCCGCCCATGACCTCTGACCACTCAGACTTCCCCTGGCCCTGAGGACAGCGCAGCAGGCAGAAGTGGCCGGGGACCCTTACCAAGGGCTCTGAGAGGACACTTTCCAAACCCGCCTGTCATTCTAGATCGCTGCCCTTCCAGACTGACGCGATCGCTAATAGTCTCTGTCCCCTGTACCTGCTATTGAATCAGTCCAGAAATACTCTGACGTCAGGATTCCAGTGGCTGCTCACAGCCAGCAGCTGCTCAGAGTGCCCCAGGGACAGTCACAGACACAGCAGGAGGGGGAGATGGGGAGGGCGCAGGACTTTAGGAACATGAGTGCCCGGGGCCCACCCACCCTTGTCTCCTCGCCCCCGCAGTGCCACAGTGAGACTCCTCCCGCCGCGGTCAAGACCATCAGCTGCTGTCCTGACCCCAATCCCACACCTCCCGGGACTGTGTTCTTCCCAGAGCTCTCACTCGGAACAAAACAGGCTTGTCTCGGACTCTCCCGTGTCTGTCCTTCTTGAATCTGTAGCTTCACCTTCCTCCTCCCGAGGGGCGTTGGTCACATTCAAACAGACCAGAGTGGGGCCATCTTGGAACCGCTGCTTTAGTGGGGGGGGGGCCAACCACAGTGCCGTGGCAACCGTGGCAACCGCAAAGTGTGGCTAGTGAGCCCAAGCCGGGGCTGCAGCTCTGGGATGAGCTGCCGGGAGCGGGGAGGACGCAGGCTGGCTGCAGTCGCAGACAGTGAGGCAAAGATGAACCCCAGGCCAGACCGAGAAGGCCGTTCCACTGAGGCAGCCGCGTCTGCGTGGTGGGCACCGGGTCTCAGTGGTGGCCCAAGGAGCAAGACACGGTGCACCAAAGACCAGGCGGAAGAGGCCACACCGGAAAAGCCACTGCCAGGCAGCCATGTTGCATTGGTGACAGCGGCAGAAGTGCTCATGACCTGGTTGTTGGTTCTTAAGTGGCCGATCTTTATTAACTTTAATAATTCATCTCTCTGGCCTGAGGCAAGGTACTTTGATCTCTAGTCCTCTGGTGACCTCGAAGGATGTTGGAAGAATCAGAGTCCCCAGAGTTCAGACATCTGCGGGTCAAGTCTGGCTTCCATGGCTTGGAGCTGGGCGTAAGGGAGAGCTGGTTTCAGAGGCGTGACCAGTAGGCGTAGCTGCCCTGGGGGGCGGAGGGGGTGCTTTTACCTACTGGGAAGGCAGAGCTGGGTATTTCAAGAAGAGGAGGCCCATGCGTTCCAGTGCCCTGGACCTTCCAGGACTGGCGCCCCTGTGCTCCCCTGCACACCTGCCATGGCCCACACCACCCCTTCAGATCCCACTCCGACAGGCCAAGCCGTGGGCGGTGTGTTTCCAACTGGGTCACTACGGCCACCGCAGCTAAGGGCACCACGGCCCCGCAGACCCTCCTGTCTTCTAACACGTTAGGGACTCAGGAGCCTGGGCCGGTCTCGGCCACTCTCAGACACGGGCGGCCAGGTCCCCAGCCTCCCCTCCCCCCAGCCCCCTGCCCCCTCACCTGCTCGCACTCCACCTGGGCCTCGGCCTCATCTTCCTCGTCTTCCGCGTCGTCGTCAGGGCCCTCCAGTGCCCAGTCCTCCTGCGTGAAGGGCACGGCTCCCTGGGCCGAGTGGAAGCGCAGGCGGTAGAGCAGCCGCACCCACTGGCCGAACTCGCGGTCTCGGGTCTCGGGCGGGGCCCGCAGCTGCAGGTAGAAGGCGCGGCCCGTGCGGAACTTGACCTTGAGCTGGCAGCGGCTTTCGTCGTGGACGAAGAGCTGGACGAACTGCAAGGGGAACAGCCTGGGCGGACGAAAGGGGAGGCCTCAGGCGCTGCCCCTGGCAGCCTTCCAGGCCCCTGGCTCCCTGGGGCCAGGCGTCCCTCCACGCCACCCCTCCCCTAGCCCAGAGGAGCCCTTTTTTCACTTTCATTGCATTTTGAATTTAAGCCTGTCCTCAACTTTCTTCCAGCCACACGCCACCTTTTTCTCCCCCCGGTCCTCTCTCCTAAACGCCAGACTCGATATGCAGCTGCCTGCTTGACATTTCCATCCATATGTTGGATCGACCGTCTGACATAACTTGTCCAACAACCAAATTCCTGATCCCCCGGCCGCCGCCCGACCTACGCCTCTGGGACTTCCCCATCTTAGCTACATCCCCCCAACTTGCTTGGTCAAAAATCTTGACATCACTCCTGATTTGACGTTCTCACACCCTCATCCAATCATTCCACCAAATTCCGGTGGCTCCACCCTTAAAATGTATCCACAATCCAACCACTTCTCACTCCCTTCCAGCCACCACTGGGTCCAGCCACTGATTTCCACCCTGGGCTCACTGCCTCAGCCCACGGCTCCTACAGTCTGCGCTCCACGAGGCCGCCAGAGGGTGGCGGTTGGCACCTCGGACAGCTCAGTTCCTTTCTGTGGCAACTGGCTCACTCCTGTAACTGCAAAGCCCTCGCCACGGCCCTGCGGGATCTGCTCCTTGTTCCCTCTGCGTCTTCTCCCTCACCTGCAGCCACATTGGCCTCCTCGCTGTTCCATCAACACACCAGGCTACCACAGGACCTTTGCACAAGCTGTTCCCACCACCCGAAAAACTTTCTCCAGCCACTCCCATGACTCGCCCCCTTCATCTCCCTCGCATCCTTCTCAGGAAGCACCTTCTCAAGGAGGTCTCAGCCAGCCTATCTGCAACCACGTCCACCCTAGAGACCTCCCCATGGCCCTTCCCGGTCTTCCACGGCCCCACAGGCCTCTCCCCATCTGATGACTTGCCATTTATTCTGTCTGCACTCCCGGGAGAAAGTGAGCTCCTTGGGGGCAGGAATTCGGGCCCGATTTTGTCCAGTGCTGTTTCTCTGGTACCCAGAGCTGACACACAGCAGGTGCTCAGCCCATGCATAGCAATATTACTTCTAGGAATGGATCGCACACACTCCCTCACACCTGTCCACAGACTTACACAACACGAATTCCCCTGCCACACTGGTTGTAACCCCAAGACACTGGACAACCTCAGTGTCACTTAGCAGGTGACTTGATTATTGACCCCCAAATGGAAGAATAATACCTAACCTTTATGGAGCACTGATTCTGTGTCAGGTGCTGTTCTAAGCACTTTACATTTACTCAGTTTATCCCCTGACAGCCCTGGGAGGTGGGCTCTCCTCTTATCCCCATTTTCTAAATGAGGAAACTGAGGCATAGGCAGGTAGGGGAAGCCTGGCCAAGGCCAGTGAAGAAGTGAAGCCACGATCTGAACCCAGGCCATCACCTGAAGGCAGACATTTGTTCAGGGACATCCCCTCCTATATTAAGAACAAGGGGTTGGGCACAAGCTTGATGTCCAGCACCCCAGAGCTCACTCAACTTGTATGTCCAAACAAGTCTGTTGGTTGGACCTATGCCTATATGTGTAGGGACACAGTGCTGATGACAGAGTGGACACCACAGAGAGGTGGCATATAGCTTGTGTCCACTGCTGTTTTTAAAGAAAGGCTGGGCCCATACGTGTGCCTGTTGGAACCTGCTTCAGAATAGCTCAGCCCTGCAAGCTGGTTAGACGGAAGTGAGGGCCTAGGGGATGAATCTTGTGGCCAGGTCTGTAGGGTGAGTGCAATGTTTTCACTTCATTTCAGGAGGGGGCTTAGGGTGCTGAAGCTTAGGGCGGGGGTCAAGGCCACCACTCAGCATGGGCAATATTAGTGTTCTTCAAACTGCAGGTCGTGACTCAGTGAGTGGGAAGGTCCAACTGGTGGAACAATGAGCATTTAAAGGAAAAGTGTAGAAGAGGAAACATCCCAGTGTACAATCCCAGCATCAGAATGCTGCTTAGTGAAAAGTTTTTAACTTGGCGGCAGAGGGGGGAGACAGATAAAGGCTGTAAGTAGCCTCCAGCACTTTCAGATCTGAAGCTGATTCTGTCACAGAGTTACAAAAAACCTTTTGGATTTTGGAACTGCAAAGGATTGTGGACCTGTGTGTGTGTGTGTGTGAGAGACAGAGACAATGTGAGTTTGTCCTTCTTTCATTCCTTCCCTTCTTCACTCCCTCTCCCTTTTCTTTTCTCCCTCTTTCTTTCACTAACTGTGAGATGTTGTCAAAAAAGTGAAAGCCACTGGCAGAATGTTTCTGTAAATGTACTATAAGCATGTAAATGTTTCAGTGTTTGCAGCTGGAGTCGGGGCAGACGTCTGGGATGGGTGAAGGGTATACCTTGCACTGTGTTTGTTTTCCCTGTGTGTTTGCATTGCTTGTTCCACGAAAAACTAAGACCTAAAGGGGCAGCGTGTAGCAAGGCATGGGGGCTCAAGAGTTCTAAGATTGGCAATCACGAGGAGCTTGAGGTTCCAATTCCAGCCCATTCCTGACCCACTGTGGCAACCTGGGCAACTGGTTCCCTACTCTGAGCCTCAGTTTACCTCTTTGGAAAATGGAGCTAGGGAGCCCCACCTCATGAGGACATGAGGTCAGAGATGAGAGCATGTGCATGGCCCAAGGTGCACCTGGCATGCAGCAGTCACTACATAAGTGGTCATTCTCCCGACCCCTGCCAGAGTATAGCTGAGGACTGTCCCCTTCATGTCTGTCTAGTCCCTGTTTTCTGGCCCCTGAGGGATGCCCTGGCCTGGTTCTCCCAGGTAGACCCTAGCCCAGAGAGGGCTGACAGCCATCCCAAGCTCCTGGCCCTGGGGGTGGTCTGGATGTTTAGGGAGCAGGTCTAGGCTGAGGTGGGGGCAGTCACCCGAAGAGCTGCAGGTGTCCGTTCTCCTTGGTAGGGCCTGCCAGCAGCAACAGGTCTGGGAGTTCCAGGGCTGGACTGGAGGCTGCCACCCCCATGGTGACCTTGTTGGCAACTTCTCCTAAGCGGGTCACCTGGGGCCATAGGTCAGAGGTTAGAGGCAGGATAGATGGGGGGCAGAATTGGGGAGGGATCAGAGATCAGGAATTTTGGCAGGGTAATAGGTCATGAACCAGGTTAAGTTGAAAATCAGGTTAGGGATCAAATGTCTTGGGATTAAAGCTCAAGAATCATATGGGTGTGAAGTCAGGGAAACTGAGGCAAGGGACTTAGAATCCAGGATTCATAGAGACGCTAAAGGGCTGGAGGTATGGGGAGGGGTCAGAGGTCACACAGGAGCCGGAAGTCAAGAATCCTACGAGATGGACATCATGGGGGAATGGTCAGAAGTAGGGAGAGCAGGGGTTTCCCGAGTCAGGAGGCTGACGGTCAGGCCTAGGCTCTGGGGTCCTGGGGCTCCACACCTGCACGAAGTTGCTCTCAAAGATGGGGAAGTCACGCAGCTGGTCGAACTCGCCGCTCTGGAGGTGGCGTTGGAGCCGTCCGGGACGGCCTGTGGGATAGGCTGGAACCAGGGGGCGGTCTAGAGGGGCGAAGTTCGGGAGTCTATCCCAGGAGGCTGGGTCTGACCCCCACAGTTCGTAGGGACCAGGGGAGTGCCGCGCTGAGTAAACGGGTATCAGAAGTCTCCGAATTGCTAGCCCCATCCCTTACATGGTCCCCTCACTGATTCCCTCACCAGGTCCAACCCCTCCTGGTCTGGTTCTGCCTCTCACCTGCCATCCCACCTGGTGCCGCCTCACCTGCTCCACCGAGGGCCGGCCTAGACTCATGCCCCCGCTTCATCGCACTGCCCCCGCCCCTAGAGCCGAACGTAGGGAGGAGCGGGCGGGGAAAACAGAAGTCGGGGCCGCGGGCACTGTGACATCACAACGCAGCGGACCGGGTTGCACGACGTCACCGAGGAGCGGACGCCGGTGGTAGTGACGTCATCGTGGGACGGCCCCTGGGGACCCGGGCTGCGGACGGACGGCAGTGCGCAGGCGCAAGCAGTCGGCGCAGGCGCGCGGGCTCCAGGATGCGGCCCGTTCCTCCCGGCGTGCTCCGCGGTCCTCGGCTCACACCGCCCCCTGGGCTGGTGGAAGGGGCCGCGATGGCGGCCGGCGCCGGGACGACTCGGCTGCTTCTGCTCTTGCTGATGGCGGTAGCAGCGCCTAGTCGGGCCCGAGGCAGCGGCTGCCGGGCCGGGGCCGCCGCGCGGGGGGTGAGTGCTCATTAGCTCCGTACAGCGGCCGAGGTCGACGGAAGCTGTGGGTCTCGGGGCTTTAGGTGGGTCGAGGTGGGAACGAGGCTGCGCAGGGCCGAGAAGGACGAGGTGAGAGGACCGCGGAAAGCCGGGCTGCAGCCACGCACGCGCGGCAGGGCCCTCGGCCTGCTGAGGCCGCGGCGACTGGGAGAGAAAACCAGAGCACCGTTCTGAAGGCTTTAGTCGTGAATATGTATGAGGGGGCGGGGCTCGGATGCAATCTTGGCCAATCGGACGTCGGGGCGGTTAAAATGAAAAAGGCGTGGCGAGGGGCGCTTGAGGGATTGGAGAGGAGTTCTGTCCTGAATATGCATGAGGGGGCGGGATCTTGAGCTTGCGCGTACCTCTAATGTGGAAACAGACAGGGTCAAAGGTGTGAGGGCGAGCGTGGGCTTTGCAGAGGCAGGAGAGGTTTGTCGAGCTGGATGGAGATCTTGGATGTGCTTGTTAGGGGCTGAACTCAGGCTGGGCTCTTAAGGTGAAAACGAGACATTTTGGGTCTTGGCATGGAAAGGAAGCCCTGGGAAAGGGAGGGTGTGTTTTAACTTATGATTATTTATAGTACAGGATGTGAAAGTGACCTGGAGATAGTTGCTTTGGGAAGGAGGTTAGAGAGGAGTTTGTAGAGCCTGGTTTTCTGGAGATGGAAGAGTCTGGATTATGAATATTCATGAAATGGCTGATTCCCTTGGGAATCGGGGCAAGGGTCAAGTGTTTGAGTTTTTTTTCTTCCTGCCTCTGGTGCTTGAATCAGGAAAGCATCAGTGATGCTTATGAAGATAAGGCTCTACCCTCAGCCTGCCAGTCTGCCCTGGGGTCTGTGGGTCTTGCCCTGCTGAGGGCTTGGGTGGTCCTCACCTATCCCCTTCTCTTTTGCAGGCTGGGGTAGAAGGCCGAGAGGGCGAGGGCTGTGGCCCAGTGGGACTGCTGCTGGAGCACTCGTTTGAGATCGGTGAGCCCAGCAATGTCCTTTTCTGGACACTTACCGGGTACCCTGTGAAGTCAAGACTCAGGGTCTGGGAGCTATCTGGTGTGAGGCACACCGTCCATTCACTAACGGTTTTGCCCATGGTGGGGGGGTGTGTGGGAGGGGGACATGGAGAAGAGAAACAATGCCTTTGGTGCCTCCAGACCTGTAAGACGAATCCCAGTTTCGGAGCGGTGAGTGAAGCAGTAATAACTTCAGAGCAGACTTTTCTAGGCCTGTGGTCAGGCCCTGGTGTCTGCTCCATGAACAGCTCTGCTGATTCTGACACAGCGGGCTGTTGGGAGCTCCTGAGCTCTGCAGCCTTCATATTTTGCCCCTGGGGAAACTGAGGCTCAGGGACGTTATGTGACTGTCCTTGGGTCACCTGGCAAGGCAGAGGCAGGACTTGGGAGCTTTGGGGTTCATGCATGTGCCACGGGCTGCCTTGTGAGAAGGCAGGACATGGTGGGGGTATCCCCAGTTTGCAGGTATGAAAATGGGGGCTCAGGTTGGGGAAGGAACCTGGTCACTCTTGGGTGGAAGACAGAGCAAGATTTGAATCCAGGGCTCCTGGCTCCTGCCCGGGTTGAAGGATGAGCTTGGGGGTGGTCTCTGAGCCCTGGCTCCCCACAGATGACAGTGCCAACTTCCGGAAGCGGGGCTCACTGCTCTGGAACCAGCAGGATGGCACCTTGTCCCTGTCGCAGCGGCAGCTCAGTGAGGAGGAGCGGGGACGACTTCGGGTGAGGTGGGGACCCCAGGGATGGGCTGGGGGTGGGGGTGTCTGGTTATCTCTCCTGCTGCCCTGCTCTGGTCCCCTGCAGCCCACCCCTAGGTCTCCTGCCACCCTCACTCCCTGTCCCCCGATGACTGCCCCAGGCGGAGTGGTGCTGTGGCTGGCCTTAGTGCCAAGAATGTGAGGTGCCTGCCTTGGGGCCTGTGCCTATACTGTTCCCTCTGTCTAGCACACCCTCTTCCCCCAAAGGGATCACACAGCGGGCTTCTCCAGTCTTCCAGAGTCAGCTGAGATGTTTCATGATCAGTTAGGACAAGATTTGCTCATCAGGGGAAAGAGATCCTCAAAATAGCCGTGGTTAGACAAGAGGTCACTTCTGTCACCTGCTTTGTGGCCTCCAAGGGCCCGGGCTCCTCCCAGGCCCAGCTTGAGCCTCCCAAGGGCTCCGGGCCATAGGACAGAGCAGGAGAAGGAGGGTGGGGGAGCAGCATCTTTTAGGGACAGTTTGCAAAGCCTGCACAATCCATTTCCACCTCTGCCCCATTGGCCGATGTAGCTGCAAGGGAGGCTGGGAAACGGCTTTTTTCTGAGAGCCTTGTGCCTGTGGGCGCTCTCCCTGTGGAAGGCGTCATAGTGAGTTTTGCCTGAGCGGCCTTTCTGCACGGTCCCGTGTGATTCGGTCACAGGTGTCCCCAAAGAGAGTTTACTGCTCATGTAACTGGCAAGTCCAGGTGTGAGGCACATGCCAGGTACTGCTGGATCCAGGAATAGAGAGGGTGTTTTCAGGACTCACTCCATCACTGGTCTGGGCTCTACTGTCCTTGTCCCCCCAGGTGGCGAGGCCCCAGGTGCTCATGGCCTCACCTACCAACTGGGCCACCCAGTGGGAAGAGTCCTGGGCTGACCCAGGGCAGCCAGGCAGGGAGTGAGATGCTAGTGGGTGAGAGTGGGGAAGGCCTTCCTGGAGTGGCCTGTGGGGGTCACAGCCTGGCAGGGGCCAGGCACCGTCCCTCGCACCAGCACCCCCTACTCATCCTGCAGGATGTGGCAGCCCTGAACGGCCTGTACCGTGTCCGGGTCCCGAGGCGGCCTGGGGCCCTTGATGGCCCAGAAGCTGGTGGCTACGTCTCTTCCTTTGTACCCGCAGTGAGTTGGTGACGTGGACTAGCCCCCGATCCTCGCCCCTGCTGCCTGCGTCAGCCCTGCTTCCACCACTCGGTCCCTGGTGGTTCTGGTGGCTGCAGAGGCGGGGAAGACAGAGCTGACCTTGCCCGGGTCTCCTGGTCCGGAGGGGTGGGCCTGGGGTCGGTGCTTTAGCGTGAGGACCCTGGGGAGGCCGTTGAGGCTGCACTTGTGCCTGAGCGTGGCAGGGAGCCATGGAAAGGTTTGGAAAGATGCTTTGGGGGTCCTGTGGCGGGGCAGGAAGCTGGGGGTGCCAGGACAGGAGCCCCTGCTCTCCCCCTCCCCTGATACCACGCCTCCCCATAGTGCTCCCTGGTGGAGTCGCACCTCTCGGACCAGCTGACCCTGCACGTGGACGTGGCCGGCAACGTGGTGGGCGTGTCGGTGGTGACGCACCCCGGGGGCTGCCGGGGCCACGAGGTGGAGGACGTGGACCTGGAGCTGTTCAATACCTCGGTGCACCTGCAGCCGCCGGTCACGGCCCCGGGGTGAGGACGTGTGGGGCCTCGGGGGTTCCTCTGCCTTTGCGGGTGTCCTTGCTGGCTGCCCCTGCCCCTGGCCCCTCCCCCTGCAATTCTTGGTGGCCTCAGGGTCTCCAGGTCCCTGGACTCCAGCCCCTCACGCTTGTCTTCTCCGCCTGCCCCAGCCCAGAGACGGCGGCCTTCATCGAGCGTCTAGAGATGGAGCAGGCCCAGAAGGCCAAGAACCCCCAGGAGCAGAAGTCCTTCTTCGCCAAATACGTGAGTGGGGCTCCCCGCCCCCTTCCTGCCAGGCCCCTGGGGCTGGGTCCTCCCTGCTCCTGTCCAAAGCCCCCCACCCGCTCCTCTCTGTTCCTTGTCCTCTGGGCCTCCTGCGCATGGGGCCCTCAAACTCCTGGTGCCTCTGTGCGTGTCCCTGTGGCACTGGGGCTGAGCCCGGGCTGGACGCGGGGGCTGAGGGCTGTGGAGCGCCTACCTCGCCCCCGCCAGCTTGAGGAAGTGGTCCTGGGACCGGGCATGCTGGGCAGGCATGGGCACAGCAGAGTCCTGCTTGTGACAGACAAGAGGCTCGTTTGGAGGGAGAGGATGTGGAAGAACGGCCGGCTCTGGGGCGCAGGCCTGGGCCAGGCTGGACAGGAGGGGGCGGGACAGGTTCCAAAGGAACGAGGGAGGCGGCAGGTCCTGCGGGAGGTTGCACAGCAAGGCAGAGAGGAGCGGCTGCGAGGCACGTGGCCCTGGGGAAGAGCACGGGGGCAGCAGGGTGCCCGGAGGGCTGGCATTGGGCTCAGGAGGGAAGGGGAGCCCGAGGCCAGGCAGGGGGACTGAGGTGCCGGAGGGTGGCTCTCTGGGGGAGGCCACTTCCGCCTGAGCCTCCGGTCTGCCCTTGTCTGGAGACTGGTGCTGGGTCGTGGCACGGGGCTGGGCAAGCCAGGGCGGACAGGGAGGCCAGTGTGGCCCGAGGGGGAAGGGTGCTGGCAGCCTGTGGCTGAGCCCGGCTCTGCTGAGTGCTGCGCCTGGAGAGCCCAGCGCCGCTGACGTCAGCACAGTCTAACGGCCTCAGGGAAACTGAGGCCCAGAGAGGCTGAGGCCTAGCCTGCCCTGCCTCTTGCTGGGGGGTCCTCCTGCCCTGCCAGCCCTGACCTGCGCCCCTCCCTCCTCAGTGGCACCTCATCCTGGGGGGGGCCCGTGTTGCTCACAGCCCTGCGTCCTGCTGCCCCAGGGCCCGCGCCGCCGCCGCAGGAGGCCTGAGTGAGGACCGAGACCCCTCCCGCCTCCGCCCTCCCCCCACCCTCCCCCACCCGTAGTGACGTAGGGGACCTGGGCCCCCGCCCCTCACTTGGCCTCCCCTCATGCTGGCTTTACCTTCCCCTCCACCAGGCAGGTGACGCCCACGCTCACCCCTCTCTCTGTCTCTGTGTGTCTGTCTGTCGTCCGCAGTGGATGTACATCATTCCTGTCGTCCTGTTCCTCATGATGTCAGGAGCGCCGGACGCCGGGGGCCAGGGCGGGGGTGGGGGTGGGGGTGGCAGCGGGGGCAGTGGCCGGTGAGGGGCTGGGGCGGGTCAGTGCCCATCCTCTGACGCCCAGCGGCCTTCCTACTGCTAGAGTCTCTCACGCCCTTGGCCATCCCGAGAAGGACTTGCCAGCCCCTCCTGCATGCCCATCCCGTGGCGGGAGGACACCCCCACCGGGAGGCAGCATGCCGCCTGCGCCAGCCCTCGCCCTCTCTGGGCCTCTGTGTTCCTGTCGGCAGAGCAGTGGCCGCATTCTGGGCCCTGGGCAGGGACACCCATGTCTGCTGCAGCCCTGCCTCCCCCGTGTCCCCGCTGTGGCCCCAGGGGCTTCCCTTTGCCCTCAGGATAGCATCTCACCTCCTGGGCCACTGGCGGCTCAGCCTCTCCCACTTCGTGCCCCCCCCCGCCCCCCAAGCCCGTGCAGTCTGGGAACACGCCGAGTTCTCTCCAGCCTCCGTGCCTTTGCTGGGGCGGTCTCACCCTCCCGCCCCTGGCCACGTAGATGGCCCCGTCCAGGCTCCTGCCCGTCTGACACTGGACCCTCCGCTGTCTCCCTCGAGGGCACGAGGGGCCCTGGCTCGACTTCTCCCCCCACCCCACCCCTCCTGGGTGCAGGTACAGCCCTGCCCTCAGGACGCCCTCGGTGGCCTCTGGGCTGGAAGGAAAATGTTTAAGGTTAAAAAGAAACAAAAGAAAACTGACACTCAATGGAGTCAAGGGCCACATGCTGTACAACAACCCCTCCCGGCTGTCCCCTTCCCCGCTGTCCCCTTCCCCAGCTGTCCCCTTCCCCAGCTGTCCCCTTCCCCGCTGTCCCCTTCCCCAGCTGTCCCCTTCCCCAGCTGTCCCCTTCCCCAGCTGTCTCCTTCCTCAGCTGTCCCTCTCAGCAGGGCCTGAGCAGCCCACCTGCAGCGCGGCCTCTGCAAGTCATCGCCCTCCCTTTTCAGTCTATTTAAAAGCATTGACAACATATTGAAATACGTGAACGTTTTGAAAAGTTACAGCTCCCGACAGCCAAATGCAACTGTCGTTTTGGCTCGAGCCGGCCGCGGTGCGGGTGCGCAGGCTTTCCTGAGAGCCACTGTTCACTTCATACGTTACTAAGAAACAAGAAGATGGCCGTCCCCGTCGTCCCCACCGCGTAACGCTCAGCTGTGTCGTGTGGCAGTTTATTATTAAACTGTTCCCCAAATGTGCGACACTCCGCTTGCTTCCTGCTTTCTATGGTTATAAATAGCACCACAGAGAATGTTGTCATCTAATCTCTCTTTGGCGGGAGTCGGAATGGTTTCCTTGGGACGAGGGACTAAAAGTGGAATTACGCTGGCAGATTGGAGACGTTTTTACCAACAGGTAATATATTCACATGGCTCCACCGAGCAGGTAGCTGCGTGGGGAACGTCACGCTCCCTCCTGCACTTGCGTTTGCTTTCTATTTCCCTCCTCCTGGAGCGTCTCTGTGCCAGCCCAAACCGCCACGTGCGGTATTCACCCGTTTGTGACACAAAAGCAGCTAATTTGCGTGGGCACCGACCTTTCCTTGCTAGAGCCCAGCAGGTGTCCTCGGTCTCCATGTGCCAGGAAGATGGGCCACGTCCGCCACTGGCCAACCTTGCCCCGTCCCACGGGTGTAGATAAACTAGGGTAAAACTGGACTGGGGTGGCCGGGCACAGGCAAAGGGCACTGGCAGACTCGGTCCGTGTTGCCAAGTGACGCTCCGTGGTGACCTGCCTTGCTGCAGCCCTGGGACAGCGGACCTGTTTCCCCACGGCCCCAGCAGCAGACCACGTGCTCAAACTCTTGGGTTTTGGCCAGTCCGATGGGTTCTGTAAATATGGTATCGTGGTGCGTGATGCCCTGTGCTTCCCAGAACAGGTCGAACATGCTCGAGCTGCAGGTATTTCCTGAGAACTGTTCGTGTCCTTTGCTCAGGGGCAGAACGTTTGTTTTAGCATTTCCTAAATGCTTCCCGTGGCTTCCAATGTGTGGAAGTTGGTCAGGTCCGAAAGTTCTCCTGATTCCTGGTGCTCTTGGACTTAGGTCTTGCCCAGGGCCCTTCCCTTGGCCCCTTCTCTTCATGCTGCAGCCCTGACGTGGCTCAGAGCCCACTCCGGGGTCCAGCCACCCCCCTGCCCTGCAGATGGCCTGAAGGGTCTGGCCAGTGTTTGTTCCCTTGGTCCATTGTGCCACATGCCTGCCAGCATTGGGTGTTAGCATTTTACAGATTTCTTGGTAGCTTTAATGTAGAAAATGGAATCTCAGGGTGGCTTTAACTTCAGTTTCTTTCTCCACCAGTGAGAGAGAGTGTGTGCTGTTTTCTGTCTTCATTTCAGGAGAATTCCTCTTCTCTCTACTCCTAGATTATTCCAGAGGTTTGTTGGTCTTTTTTTTTTTTTTAGAGACAAGATCTCTTCACCCACCTTAGGTGTCATCATGGCTCACTGTAACCATGAACTCTTGGGCTCAAGTGATCCTCCCACCTCAGCCTCCCAAGTAGCTGGGTCTACAGGTGCATGCCACCACACCCAGCTATTTTTTTGACTTTTGACTTTTTGTAGAAACAAAACCTTTCCTTGTTGCCCAGGCTGGTCTTAAACTCTCAAACGATTCTCCCTTCTCGGCCTCCCAAAGTGCTGGGATTACAGGCATGAGCCACTGCTCCAAGCCTTCCACAGGCATTTATTGCTGCTTTTTGGAAAGTGACTCAGAGTTCTGAGCCTTTTGTCTAATATGCAGATGTTTTCTCAGCCCAGTCTTTTGCGGGACCACCTTATTTTTTTTTTAATTATTTTTTTATTTTGGCATATTATGGGGGTACAGATTTTAAGGTTTCAATAAAGGACCACCTTATTTTTTAATGGGCTGAGCTTTGGGATCTTTATACATCTGATTACATCTTTCCCTCTAAAACTCCATTGCTTTCAGGTTGGCTGAGTTATCCTGTGGCATGTTCTTGTCACTGTCTGAGATCATTCAGGCTCCCCAGGGTTCTGTCCTTATTCAACTTCTCTTCCAGTTCTTGCCTGTCCCTGGGGAGCCCGTTCACTATTTTATTTTACTGACCAGGGTGTCTAGGGCCAAAGTTTGAAACTCAAAAGATGCAGTAGGCTCCATAGTGAGAAGCCTTCCACTCTCTTCCGGCTCTGACACTCCCTTCCCCTCACTGGGGGCAGCCTGAGTTTTCTGTTATTGAGTCATTTTGGAGATACTTTCCTGTATAGATAAGCAAATGCATGTGTAAATACTTTTGCAAAAGTGCATTGCTCTTGTTTTTTTTTTTAATCCTCTGTTTGACATGAGCTGGAGAGGTTTCCATCTTTTTTTTTTTTTTTTTTTGAGACAGAGTCTCGCTTTGTTGTCCAGGCTAGAGTGAGTGCCGTGGCATCAGCCTAGCTCACAGCAACCTCCAACTCCTGGGCTCAAGCGATCCTCCTGCCTCAGCCTCCCGAGTAGCTGGGACTACAGGCATGCGCCCGACCATGCCTGGCTAATTTTATTCTATATATATTAGTGGTCAATTAATTCTTTCTGTTTTTAGTAGAGATGGGGTCCTCGCTCTTTGCTCAGGCTGGTTTCTAATGCCTGACCTCGAGCGATCTGCCCACCTCAGCCTCCCAGAGTGCTAGGATTACAGGCGTGAGCCACCGCGCCCAGCCTATATGCGTGATTTTGATGAATGCTGCCCCACTGCTACTCCAGGTCTCAGCCACCTCCTCTCCACACTGGAGATTCCAAACAGCCCCTCTTCACCAGCAGTACCCAAATCCATGCGTCTAGGCTCCAACCTTGCCTGTTTCTCCCCAGACCCAGGGCCCCATCTGCCTCCCCCGGGCAGGCTCCTTTCCAGGATGTGCCTCAGGGACCACTGATGATGTAGTGCCTCCCACCTACCCGACTTGGGTGCTCCTCCAGAGATCCTTGTCCCAGTGAGTGGTGCCACCACCTGCCCAAGCTCACAGACCACAGTGCTGCCTTGACCCAATCCTGTCCCCCCAATGAACCACCATCCCCACCCCTAAAGTTCTTGGCCTCATCTCTTCACCTCTGTCCCCATGATCTCAGTCCCAGCTCCAGCCTCATCCTCTCCCACTGGGACCATCAGCCTCCTCCTTGGCCTCCCAGCCTTTCTTCAGTCCCTCACTCCCATGGGGAGCTTTCTGACACCAGAGCTGACCCCACCGCTCCCCTGCTCACAGCCCTCCCATGGCCCACCAATGCCTACAGGCCAAAGTCCCAGAGCCTCTTTCTGCCATGTCCCCTCTCTGTTGCTACTGTCCTGACCCCACCTCAACCTGTATTCTCTCCTGGATGCTCCCCCAGTCTCATGACTTCTGGTCTAAGATGTGACAACACCTGCAAGGTCAATGCCAGTGAAGGGATTGCCCTCCCTTCCCCCCTCAGCCCTTGGATGCTTTTTGCCCCACAAAATGTCACTTGCTCCATTGAGAAAGCTTCCCCCTTCCCAGCCTGGGCTTTCATACTGGCGTTTAGGTGTTCTCAGCACATAATTGTGTTACAAGCAATCTTTTAAAATACAGAAGACTATATTTAGAGTTTTGCAAAACTTTTTACTACACCCAAATTATGGCTTCTGGAAACAATTCCATATGCTTGTTTATTTAACCTGCCAGAGAGACTCATTGGTGAGGAGCAGGAGCTAATTATTGAGACCTATTTAGCTGTCAGTCCATCCACCTTTGCTTCCATCCACCTGCCAATTAGCAAGGTGTAACAATGTCCCTATAAAGGAAACAAACATAATTTGGCCCAATTCCCGGAAATGCAGTCTCCCAAACAACCTCGTGTAAACCAAATCCCATTTCTTTTGTCTGTCTTAATAAAGTCCCAGTTGTACTTCCATGGGAATACAGGAGGGAATTCACCAGTAGAATGACTTGGAAAGTTCAGAGGTTTAAATTGGCACACCAAGAAGTTTGCTGGGTATGATGTTTATACATTGATTAGGAGTAAAATTTTTATTTTTACAGAATTTTCAAGTTCTTCCTCTCCCCTACCCCCACCCAACAGCCCCTGTCCCTGCCCCAGGCATTCAAGTCATTCGTTCATTTTGTTGGGACCATTCTCAGTGTCTAATGCAGCTTGGTTGCAGTTCCATCCTGTGCCAGTCGGTGGCGATAGAGGATTCCACGTGCTCTGAATGCCTCAGGCAGATCCCGGTGGCTGCTCGCAGTGGAGAGAAGTGCCCTGCAGGGGGCACTGTTGGTCCTTCAGGCAAGGTCGCTTCCCTGGAAGCCTAGCAGAGGCTGGTTTTCAGAAACACGAGGTGCCGACGTTCTCATCTGTGAAATGGAAGTCAGGCGAGGTCCTCCTAGCACTGGGGTGTTCCATGCTGCCTGACGAAGAGAAGACAGTGGAGGGTTGGGGAGAAGAACAGAGCAGAAAGTCCTCATGCCCTTCTCACGAAGCTCAGGAGTCCAGGAGCCGGTTCCTGCAACCCCAGGGGAGCCCACCCGGTCCTGGCCCTGCCACTTACATGCTGTGTGTCTTTAGGCAACATGCTTGCTGTCTCTGTGCCTGTTCCTTGCTTCCTCCTTCCTGGGGTTGGCAGGCCTGACTCCTCCAGGCAGTGTCCAGAGTCCAGGACAAACAGAAAAGAGAGAAAAGGGGTGTCACAGAGGTCCCTCCGCACCCAGGCCTCTTGCTCAGTGGCTCTGCCCTGGGCTGGCCTCCTGCCACAGAGCCTGTGTGGCCTCCTGGTCAGGACCCGGAAGCCTCAGAGCACCGGGGGCAGGGGAGGAGCCTCAGGGCAAGGGTGCGGGGTGCAGGGGCCTCCCTGAGAAGAGGGCAGGAGGCCAGTGGGATTGCAGACTTGGGGAGGAGGAAGGGGGTGGAGGGAGAGAGGGAGACAGATTCAGAGAAGACAGAAAGGGAAGAAAAGGGGAGAGAGGGAGAGATGCAGAGGAGAGACCAGAGACTAGAGAGAGAGAAGGAAGGGAGATGGAAGGGGAGGAGGAAGAGGGAGATGGGAAGAGAGGAGAGAGGAGGAGGAGAGAGAAGAGGTGGAAAGGCAAGGGAGAGAGCAGAGCAAGGCCACAGGAGAGAAGGGACCACACGGGGAAGGGAGAGAGAGGAGCGACCTTGAGAAAGAAGGGAGAGGCAGAGGCCATGGAGAAGGGAGAAAGGGAGGGAGAGGGAGAAGGAGGGGACTGGGGGGGGAGAGTCAGAAATGGAAGGAAA